TTCCTCATTCTCTTCTCAATTTCGCAACAGTTTCCGCCCTAGAGGATGAAGTAAAAAAGAATAGGAGGACTTGGTAGGAAAACATCTCAATGGTCTAATTGGGCCTTCATGTTTAATCTTTAGAGAGTGTTCTTTTGACATCAGGCATGATTAGAAAGGAGATTGCATGTTGCATCAATAGGCAAATACCTTGGAGAAAGCATTAACTTCACTATTTATCATTTCTTTCATTTCAACCACCAATTTGTGTACATTTTTTCTAATAAACATATTTTTCCTTCAAATCCATTCCTATGGTTAAAGACAGCCTGGATGCCAATCACCATGTGGTGGAATTGCCACCACAGCTCATCTCCCAATAGCTTATTCTTTTTTTTTAAGTCAGAAGGGAATTATTCTTTTTTTAATTTAATTTTGGTATTAATATCAGGTATATAAAACATAATAATTAGACATTTACACCGCTCACAAAGTGATAACCCCACCCAGTCTACTACCCCTCTGATATCGTACACAGCCAATAGCTTATTCTTGACCCATTCTTTTCTGTGAAGTCATAGCATGAGCCAACTTCCTCAAGCATTATTTGGCCCCACTCTTTTCCAATCATACTTAAATTCCTGATCCAAATGTGAGAGCAATTTGGCTGAGACATCTATTGCCCCTTTATCAACATTGGTTCTACTGATCCGATTGGTGAGGCAGATGTCCCCCTTGCTTCCTCACTGCTCCATGTGCACCTCGGTCCCCTAACACTGCACACATAGTAACACTGGCAAAGTAACAGGAAAGGAAGCCGTGGTCTTGGGCAAGGTTGTTTAAGGAAAGAGTAGAGAGTAAGAGGAGAGGGAGGCCTGGGACCAAGTTTTAGGGAACTTCAACATTAAATGGCTGAGTGGCAGAGAGTGGAAGAAAGCGGAAAAATAGATGCCAGGGAGGTAGGAGTAAAACCAGGAAAATTGGTTGTGGAAGCTAAGGGAAGAGAGGGCCTCAAAAAGTAAAGAGAGGTCATAAACAAAACGTGGTGTATATATTGGGTTGTCGGAGAAGTCATGACATATTTTTTCTGTTTTCCATTGCAAAAATGTGCCATGGCTTTTCCTACAACCCAATACATATGATGGAATATTACTCAGCCTGAAAAAGGAAGGAATTCTAACACATACTAAAGCATGAATGAACCTTGAGGACATTATGTTAAGTGAAATAAGCCAGTGAAAGACTGAATGATTTCACTTTTATGAAGCACCTGCAGTAGTCAAACTCACAGAAACAGAAAGCACAATGGTGGTTGCCAGGGGCGGTGGTGATGAAGGGCTGGGGAATTATGGTTTAACGGGTATAGTTTCTATTTTGTAAGATAAAGAATGCTGTGGATGAATAGTTGCGATAGCAGCACAACAATGTAAATGTATTATGCCACTGAGCTATATGCTTAAAGATGGTTGAGATGGTAAGTGTTGTTATGTATATTTTACTAATTTTTTTTTTAAATGGGAGAGGTCAATAGATGCTGCTGAAAGGTCAGGTATAGGGAAGACTGAAATGGACCCTGTGTTTAGTGTTGTGGAGACTGCCCATGACAAGTGAAAAAGACCCTGGATGACTTCCACATGGAAACATTCATGCATATTGTCTGGCTCATAACTACTTTCAGTAAAATGAGTCATGGCAGATGCAGGCCCTCTCTGGTCCCATGGCTCACCCCTTCCTCCTCTCCCTGCCCTCATTTGGTCTATTTCTTTCTCCGTGGTATACTTTCTGGCTCCCACACATATTTCACCATTTTCCACATAAAGCTAAAGAGGACTTAAATGTCCTATTTCCCAAGTAGATTACTTACACCTTCTCCCTGACAACCTGTATCTCTCCGCTGCTTCCAAACAGTGTCTAAACACTTCCCTCCTCCAAAGTTTTTTCCTACATTCACTCCATTTGGCTTCAAAAATTTGTCCTCACCACTGTCTTCATCGCCATTATCCACTAAATACTTCTTTTTCTTCTGAAGAATGGTGAAATGCCATTTGTCATTCTTTCGACAACTATTAATTTAACATTCCATAAATATTTATAGAGCCTCTACTCCATGGACCAGCTAGTATGATAGTTGCTAGAAATACAGTCTCTGCCCTCAAACAGCTCATAGTCCAGTGCGGGGAAGGGGCTCTATCTTCTCCTGGACCACGTACAGAGAAGTTTTTATCTTGAGGTCAAATTTTAAAAGGTAAAAGGGGGGAAAAAATCTCTATGGAAAGATTTACAAATATTTTGGGAGACAACACAGCCTTACAATTTCAGTAGGAACTCCCTCCCATTGCCGATAAATTAAGTCTACTATAAATTCACCAAACTGGCCTTGTTATATGCCCACAGCGTGACTTCTACAGAGCTTTCTCAGCTCCCCTACACATACTCCATGTTCCAGTAAACCTGAATTACTTTATTTTCCCATTTCTAAAGTGCAACTGATGATCATAAGACACACCATCAATTAAATAACATTTTAGAGAAAGGATATAATCACAATACATTCAGATAGTGATTATAAGACATGTACCAATTATGTCAACTTGGAAATGTTAAAATGCAAGGGGGAAGCAGGAGAATGAAGTGTGCATTTTAAGTTCAAAGTTATACAGTATTTGTTGCTCTCCTGAAATGCTTTGCATTTCTTGGGCTCCAAACATTTGCTTATGCTTTTCTTGCTGTTTGGACCATCTCTCTTCCCCCGACCCTTACCTACAACCTATCCAGTTTTTAAGGATTCCTTCCTTCCTCTCATGAAGCCTGCCCTGATTCTACCAACCAAATGTGATCTTTTGTTTGTTCATTGGCTCATTCAACAAATATATATTGAATGCCTGTTACATGCCAGGCATTGTTCTAGGCATTAAGGATTAAATGGCAGACAGGATAGATAAACATAGTCCGGCATTCATGGAGATTATATTTTATATGAGGAGACAGATAAAAATCAAGTAAGTTAACAAAGAAATGAATGTTACGAAGAAGAAAAACAGCAACAAACAAAGAGAGGAAATAGAGAATTATAGCGGGGAGTCTCCTCTATATGGCTGGTGAGGGAAGACCAAGAAGGTAAAAACATAAGCTGAGACTTGAAGGGAAAGGAGGACTTATACGAGTATGTGCAGAGTGGGGAGATCGTTCCAAGCACAGGGAACAGCATGTGCAAAACCCATGAGGTGAAGCTGAGTTTGATGTGTTTGAGGAAAAGACCTGCCATTTTTTTGAACCTCCAGAGCATTTTATTGGGTCGTCAGAAAAGTCGTGACGCATTTTTGCAACAAAAAACATAGAAAAAATACGTCATGACTTTTCTGACAACCCAATATATCTTCCTTTGGGGTTTACACTCGTTTCCCTTGATCATAGTCCTTGCTATTATTTTCTTATTCTCATTTCCATGCCCTATAATTAGTAAATTCTTGAAGGTGAGAATTGAGTTTAATTTATCTTAGTTAATAATTAATATTAAATAATTAATAATAAATAATTATCTTAATAAATAATTAATTAACTTATGTTTTCCTCTATGGTGCCTGGGACAGTACCTTATACTACAAATTAGATGCTCAGTAAGTATGTTTTGGATTCCATAAGACTACAGATTGGGGCCATATTTATGTAGTCCATTATATAATCTTTTAATTAAGCTACATTGTAATTGAAAACTTTTGGTTTTTACCAAAGGTTGTTATAACAGCCATATTACATGCAGTACAGTATTTGCCGTAAAATGCTATAGAAAACATTATTCAACATATTATTCAATGTACCCTATATGAGTTCCTTTTGAAATTCAATGCTAACAAAAATTTTACTTCCAAATTAGTTTGCTTCTTCCCTTCTGAACTTGAGATTTATATAATGTATTTCATTTCACCTTGTGGGAGTTAGAAAACTAAAAATCAATTATATTATTTAAGTTGAACAATTAAAGCAACATGTTTACCTGCATGGTCATGTTGGTGATTTTTTACCCCCAAAATTCTGACTTTTCTCTTGATAATGATTAATATCACAGTTTTCCAGGCACTGTACCAAGTGCTTTACATAAATTATCTCATTTAACCTTTACAACAATCCTGCGTTTTACAGATGAAGAAAACTGAGGCTTAGAATAATGTCAAACAGATAGTAAATACCAGAGCCTGGATTGAACCCAGACAGTCTGACTTTCCCCCTATGCTATATTTTAATATTTTATCATGTGGGATGTTTAAGTCCCTTAAATTAATTTCAGGAGAGAGAAGGATGAAAATATATTTCTATGCTTATATGTACATATGTAGATTTACATAAAATTATTTGAATTGAATTAAAAAATAAAGTACAGATGTTGATGACCTAGCTCACACACAATTATATTTGGTGGTCATAATGAAATACACCAAGAAAATACTAACCCTTTAAATATTTGATAGAGAAAAGTAGGACCTAAATTACGGAGTATTTTTTTATGCAGTTTTAATACACAATAAAATTTAAGATATAAGACATTTTAATTTTAATTTTCATCATAACATGAGTTTGGATAAAGAATCCTTCAAACTTTCAAGTTCAAAATGTGGCCCAGCACACTACAATAAATTCAAAGAGAGCGTTCTCAGCTTTATTGCAGTAAAATTCTTGGATAATATTTGCCAGATTTTAATATAACATTGGTTCTCAATAGGGAATTGGATCATATTCAGACACTCAAGTTGAGCTCATTAAGAAATTTTTATATTGTTTAACACTTAAATAACTGCATTCTCTGCCAGCCAAGATTGCTTTTGCATTTTTATAGAAATCATGTATAGAGAGAAGAGAATTATTAGAATTTGTTCCCAAGGCAAATGCTATCTTTAGGCCAGTATTCAAGGCTATCTTTTTTATTTCCACTCATGACAAGAGTTTACGCCAGCGCTAGTAAGAAAACAGGGCTATTAATACATTGAGAACTGAAAAAATTGCCAGCAAAATGTATTTCCCTTCACCAAAGCTGCAGAGGTGAGAAAGCTCAGTAGGAGAACCTGTTTCAGGAACAAACAAGGCCACAGAAGGAAATCCTCCTAGGGTATTCGAACTAATTTAGTGAGAGCAATAGCTTTTTATTTGCAGGAAGAACAGGTGTTTCCCCAGAAGAAAACCTGCAGAGTCACCTTGCTGAGCCAACATACAATTGGAAAATGGCAAAAACTGGATTACTGAAGAGTAATTCAGCAGGAAGGTAAAATATCTGCATATCTACAGAATAGTATGCTTGCTTATCTGTTACTAAGGTTACCTGATAATATTATTGGGGGATTGGGGAGGAGGAAAGAATTGTTTGCAACTGAGTAGAAAATTTAGTTCTCTCTTTCATTTTTGAATAGATTAATAGAAAAAGCACAAATTAATTGCTGCATATAATCAAAGTGGTCAGAATTCAAATGAACAAATTTAGTGTGGCCAAGGGCAGTGGAAGAAATATGCTTTCTAAAGATAAGGAAATGAGAGGATAAGATGGCTGCAAAAAGGCCCAAGAGACATAAGGGACAGAAAGATGTGCATGAGTCAGCACCACTAAGGGCTGCATAATTCAGGCAAGCGCTTGTCCAAAGGTTTGCCATGCAGAAATTGCAAGACAGTTCTGCCCATTGTCAGACTTGATATTGTTAATGGGATTGGGGGTGGAGTGGGGTGGGAGAGAACTGATCAGTTTTGTATAAATATTTCTCCTGCAGCATGTTTTCAACAAGTTGGTGAGTACTTGAATCTACGAACTCGACTTGGTGAGTCTTTCAAAACCTCATTCATTATTTTATCCATCTACTGACATTTACTGGGTGCCCACTAACTGCCAGACCCTGTCCCAGGCTGGGAGGATAGAGGGGTGAATAAAAGAAGGAATTCAGAAAAGGAGATAATGTGATCAAGTCTCAGAAAAATTGTCTCATACTGCTCAAACTGCCAGGAGCTTGTTTGACAGGAAAGAGATTCGTTAATTTATAATGAAAATTTGAAGAACCTGGATTGTGAACTGGGACTCCATGCGTAACAAACACTCACTGTGGAGCCTAAGTCACTGATCAGAAGACTCTTTGGGAATACGGATTTAGAGCAAAGGGAGCTGGATTTGTTTGTAACATGGCACCTTCTCCAAAGATAACTTTTATTCATTTCTCTTTAAATTAATCCCCCCTTTCCATGAATATCTCACATTTACCCTTTGGCTACGAATTCTGCTTACTCTGCTTGTACTTATTTTCTCACCTGCATCTCTGATTCCTTCACATTTCTGTTGTAATTAAGGACACATGTTTTGGAGTTAAGGCGACCTCGGTTTGAACGTTCACTCAGCCACTAGCTGGGTGACATTGGACAAGTAGTTTATGCGTTCTGAGTTTCAAATCCCTGATCTGTAAAATGAGGGCAATAATAGTAGCTGTCTCACAGGATTATCATGAAAATAAAATAATATATGGAAGACAGCTAGCTTTATTAATTACAGTCAATACAACTATTATTCTGAAAGTATCTGCTCTCATATCCAAATGGCATATAATCTCTTTGACCTCTGCAAGTCCTATTTTTTCCAATATTCTGTTTCATTTTAATATGCAATTCATAGTCTAAAAATAGCATAGTAGCTTATGGAAAATTTGGAATTTGGGAGTAAAGAAGCAATAATTCTTTTTTTTTTTAAAGAATTTTATTGGGGAGTTGGGGGATGGGAACAGTGCTGGGGAATTGGTGGAACGGGAACAGACAAGTTGCTGTCGTTTTGTTCTTCAGTCTAGTTGTGGAGGACGTTGCTTCACTGGCCCAAGTTGGCACCATCATTGCACTCTTCCTGGGTGAGGCAGATCAGTCACCGGCTTCTGGACGGCCACTCACTGCGGCTGCTGGCAGCTCACGCTGGCTGCTGGCTACACACAGTAGCCCATGGCAACCCACTGTGGCAACCCACTGCAGCAGGGGCTGCAGCCTCCCCCGTTGCAGGCGACTCACGGCAGCCCAGCTCCAGGTTGAGCTGTTGTTCAGCATCTTAGCTGTAGAGGGCAGTGTCACTGGCCCTCATATGTGGGATCCGAACTAGGGCCCTCTGGCGGTCCCAAGCCAGTTCTTAACCATCGCGCCACTCGGCCGGCCCAAGAAGCAATAATTCTTCATCTTGTCCTCCTTACCCAGACATTAAAAATTATAATTATTCTTGACATATTTTCAGATATCTGTTTATATTGGATCTAGCTGAAACTGAAAGAAAAGAAGTGCTTCTAAGCATGGCGTTCTTTAGTTTGCTATGCACTGCTCTATTGCTACTGGATGTGAAAGCCAGATTGCTTACTGTACACCATGACTGGTTCATGGTAGCTAACAGGTTAAGAGCTGAAGAAACACTTTTACATCTCTCTATCCTTAAAATACACGAGAAAATGAGGTGGTTTTGTTGTTTTTTGTTTATTTTGAGAAGAATGCAACTTGGAAAGGCTGGAATTTTCCCAAATCTTACATTTGCCCCAGCACTTCCTGTCTGAAGGTTTCTAATTGCATTGTTAGGCAAAAGAGCCACATACAAGACTTGTGCTTTTAAATAGTCACGTTAAATTATGGCTTGGAATAATGGAACAATATGGAACCAGTGCCTTTGCCAAATGACATACTCTGCTCTGGATTTAGTGACATTTCATCTGTTATTTTGAATCAGAACATGGAGGAATTTGCAATTATGCCATTCTTTTCAGCAAACAAAGTACCAGTCATTTTCTGATGTTTATCTGTCAAATATATGTTGAAAAAATTTTAAAGAATTTTTTTATGAGCTCCGTTTGGAAATTTCAAAGGCCTGAATTCCTTGAAATGGTGAAGAATGACTTCTTCAAGTAAAAGCTCTTACTACAAATGAAATTTTGGAACTATGGTGAACATGTAGTGTTTGGCAACACATCTGGTTTTTCTGCTTTGATGAAGATGAAGAAAGACAGCCATGAGTCATGGCTTTCTACATCACCTTGCATGGACATCAAAGCCCTTGCCAATAGTCCTGAACAAGTTTTATCTATTGCTGCAAAAGTCATCAATTTCTCCAGACTCAGGGCTTTAACTCATTGGGCTTTAAAGAAATTTTTGTTAAGAAATAGAAACAGATTATGAAATTATTCATTGGAATTCACTCCTAAAATCATTCCATAGGCAAAAACTCATTTGTGGTTTTGATTTATTTGATCACGTGAATAAGGTAAGGCTTTTTTTTTTTTTTTCCCCAGCATAAGATCCTGAGGGCTCCATTTTGGAAGCTAACCAAAAAACACACACATACACAGAAAACCCAGGAACGCTTTTGGCCAAGTTGTCACTGTGGGAAAAGAGATTGGAAACAGACAAATATGAACAACCCTTCCTATACTGGAGGAGATTTTCCTGGCTGTATTCAAGAGTGATGAAACTTGTCAATTTCTCACAAAGCAAAAATCTACAGACACCTAGAAACACTGCAGCACTTCTCCAAATGTTAGTTATACTCATTTGACTTTAAAATTGAAATCTGAATTTTCAACCATTTTTTTCTTTTGCTGACTTATACAGCATTGGTAATGCAGACTTAGCAAAGATAACCAAATTCATTGACCTGAGGACATGGGAAATGATGCAACCGGATCAGCTTGAAGAGTCCTAGAGCAATCCACTGTGTCTTGAAATAAGCCTTTCCATTTGCCACACCCTAGTTTGTTAATCATGTCTTTCTTTCACTTGTTGCTCTCAAAATTAAAAGTAAAATTGATAGAATAGCACAAATGACAAACATTATGATGTAAAGACTGTTCCACAATTTCTTCTCTTCAAGTCAAACAATGGCAGCCTTCTCATTTACATTTGCTTTGGGGAAAATTTTTAATTTTGCTCTTCATTTGCACACTTTGGATTTGTTTCAAATTATTTCATTTATGTGAATAAACAAGAATGAGAGAAGGAAAAATTTTTGTAAGTTTTTTTCTATATAAAGGAAAAATTTCAAATGCAATAAACAAAGTGTGTGCCCAAAATCAAGGGGATGTTTATATGAATTATTATTTTTTTAGAAAATGAGCATTTTCTTTCATCAGATCAAAAGAGGTAAATGACCTCCTCTCCCCTCTCCCCCCCAAAGTGGTTAAGAACCATGGATCTAAAACAGCCACCTCATTTTACAGTGAATAAGTGCAGACTCCAAAACATGAAACAATTGCCCAAAGTCACACAGCTAATAAGTGTTAGAACTGGAATTTGAGCCCAGCTCTCTTATGTCTAAGGCCATTATACTATGTTACCATTACATATCCTCAGTAGGACATTACACAGTCAGGAACAGGAAGTTCTTTGGAACCAAAACAAAACGAAAAAAACCAACCAACCAAAAAACCGTGTGAATATTGTATACCTGAAATGAATATAATGAATATAATATTATACACTTAATATACATAAAGATAAACTCTATGAAAATGAAAGCTTTTGTTCCAAGTGTATTACTATCAGACTTTTCTAACCTTGACTTGTTCTTGCCTGTCTAGACCTGCACTGATTTCCAGCTGCTTGAAAAATCCATCTGTTACCTACCCCATCTAGTTCCTGCCTGTTTTTCTTCTTTAATGACGGATTTAAAACCTGGTTTCAAATCCACTAGTAGACTCAAGCATCTTAAATAACCTTCACCTGGGTGTGTCTCTATTCTCTAAACCCAAACCATGGCTTTTCCTGCTGTGTCATTTTGCCATGGCCTGAACTCTGTATATAACAGAGTCTTAGTCTGTTGAGGCTGCTCTAACAGAATACCATAAACTGGGTAGCTTATAAACCACATAAATTTATTTCTCACAGTTCTGGTGGCTGAGAAGTCCAAGATCAAGGCACTGGCAAATTCTGTGTCTGGTGAGAGCCAACTTCCTGGTTTATAGACGGCCATCTTCTTACTGTGTCCTCACAAGGCAGAAACGAGGAGGAAGCTCTCTGGAGTCTCCTTTATAAGGGCATTAATCCCATTCAGGTGGACTCCATTCTCATTACCTAGTCACTTACCAAATGTCCCACCTCCTAACACCATCATATTGAAGGTTAGGATTTAACATATGAATTTCAGGGAGACATAAACATTCAGTCTATAGCAAATAGCTTATACTAGAGTTTAGTGAGTTCTGTGGTGAATATTTTGTGGCCACAAATATGCTGAAATGGACCCTTTGCTTTAAAAAGAAAACAAACAAAAAATGGAAAAGCTAATTTAAAGCTATTTATTTTCAAGTATATGAAAGTTATACATTTTTCACATTTAATTCAATAAGTGTCTTTTTTATAACATGAATTTTGAGTTCAAGAATTTTTCTTAAATCACTAAATCAAAACTGCAAAACACAGTTGAAAATTTGATTCTTAGTCTATAGTTCCAGTTTGCCACTTTGAAGATGGGGTATGCCATTTGAATTAAGTTTACTTCTAGTATATGAACAATAAATAATAACAATATTAGCTATCAATATCAATATGGTACTGGGAGTTGTACAAGCATGCCTCTAGTCCTTAATAATCACTCTGCAAAGTAGAAAGTATGATCCCAATCTACAGAGGAGAAAATCGAGATGAAACCAGTTAAGCGTCTTGTTAGGAATATATTAAGTGGCTTTGCCACTAATTAATAATATTATATGTTACCTGGAAAAAAGATTTTTTTAAAATTCACATCAAGCCCAACATTTAGATACATCTTGTTTATCACTAAAAATGAATGTAATTTAGATATAGTTCAGGAAAAGTGTGTGCCTACCGCTGGAGCCCCAACAGCCTTTGTTGGCCCCCCACCCAATTTTTTCTTTCTACAAGTAGGAAAGCATCAATGGGTGAAGTCAAGGCAGGTGACTTGAGAGGATAAAATAAAACAGAAGTCCTATCTAGGAAGTAAACAGTATCCAGGGGAACTGATGGTAGCATCAGTTTATTCAGATTCAGCTTGCCTGAAAACATGGTGGCTTCCAGCAATGGAGAAGAGTAATTAAATCATACATATGGCAGCTTCCTGGTCAGCAACACAAGTGAGGAACTCCCTCCCTGCAGTGACTCCTAGAAATACTTTGAAGACTTTGCAGAGAGGTGGGGAGGACCCATGAAACACAGATTACAGCGTGTTAGGCAGCCAGTAAAGAGGGTAGTAATGAAGACAACGGGAACAAGTGTTTATGATAACCATAAGTGAAGAGCATGACACAAAATTATCTGTACACTATTAAAACATATATGAAGATGAAATAAAGGCTAGAAAGAAATACTCCAAAATGATAAAAGTTACTGTGCTGGGATTGAAGAGTTATTGGTGATTTTCTTTATTTCTTTTCTAAACCTTTTGTAATATTGTTATATTACAATTTTTAAAGAGTTTTTTTGTTTGTTTGCTTGTTTTTACCAAAAAAAAAAAGTAATGGGTGAAGAGAACATTTAATTAACATTTTTATATTCTGTAAGGAAAAGAGAAAGTTCTTAAAAATCCCGATAATTTTTTCTTCTGTCCTTCCTCTGTCATCTTTTCAATGTCTTCAAGCTGCTTCTAATTCCAATTCATTCTTTGTTTTGAATAAAACAGATCACTCCCCCTCGGGCTCAATTATGATATAATTTGAGCCTGTTGTGTTTTGCTGGCTTGGGTGTCACTTGTCTGAGCCATACAGACGTGCCTAAATTTGAGCTGAAAGTACATGACTTAAAAAAAAAAGCTGAGACATCGATTTGTAAGACAGTAGAAGGCATGAATCAGATATAAAAGGACAGTGTTTCTTAGGTAAAGAAATAAAAAAAACTTAGATGCCAAACTTGGGGAGTGAAATTGATTTAATTGGGAAAGTTGGAAACTTGATTCTAGGGAAAGAAATAGATTACTTCACATGTAGTGGGTTTACGATATAAACAAAAACTCAATTTATTTCTGAAGATTATTTTAAAATAAACTTGTTAAGGATTTATAGCATCTCTCTATTGTGAAATAAAGTGTTTAACCTTTCTAAAAAAAGTTTAGTATTCATCTTAATCTTGACCCAACCTTGAACACTAGACCCAAATTTCATGTGATTCTACAGTCATAAATATGTCATAAATATGTCATTAATTCTTTACAAACAAGGGCCTAGGTTATTTGGTAAATTAGTAACCAAATAACTAATTTAAAATTTTAGCTGTCCAAATATTGCCAGGCAACCAGGATTCATAAAGAATGGGATAGCCCATCCATAGTTTGGCAGAGGACTAGAGGCTATGTCAAAATGTCCTGATTTTTTTTTCTTATCTGTTTATCAAACCACTCATGTAAAGAGAGATACCTACCTTTTGTCTCTACACAAAATAGATTCACTGTTTTTAAGGACTGGATTACTACCAATAACTGAATTACTATTAATAAACAATATGCATTTGAAATAAATATATAAAACGTGATAGAATTACTATTAATAAACATTTGGCATCTGAAATAAATATATCAAAAGTTATAAAGGAGTACAGATAGCCTGCCTACCTTGCATATTCTGCCAAACACATTTCATGTGGCTAGGGATTACCAATTAAGGTGCTTCTGCATTTTCTATAGCACTCAATACTAGACTCCTAATTAGTCACCAATAAGTACTTGTTGACTTGCCTTATGTAAGCAGTGTAACCTGCCTTGATTTCCTACTCTCTCCACTTCTCCCAGCTAGAAGTCCTCCTCTTCCCCGAGCAGCATATTCAAACTTTTATTTTATATCCTTAGTTCTTTCTGAGTTATTGCCAGGCCTTCTCCTCCTCTGATAGATATTAAGCCCTTTGAGGCCAAAGACATTGTCTGCTATCTTTCTGTTCCTTACGATGCCTGGTACATTGCAGACACCAAACACATATTGGTTGAAAGAATACTTGAATGAAATGATAGTTGAAAAGTAAATATAAGAGTTGGAAGACTTCTAGCTCCCAATCCTAAAACTGCTTGAGTATCTCTGATAAAATAAATTGAGGTTTATAGCTGTACTTGTAAATACAAGATATAGAAAGTAGATAATAATCTGCGCTCATGCGTTTTGTTCCCCTTACAGGAAACTCTTGATAGATCACAAAGCACATGTGTTTTATTCATAATAGCTATTACTGACCTTTCACATTCTGAATGTTAAGTAATACTTATAATGAAATACAATAGGATATAAACATTGAATTTTTTTCTAAATGGGACTGCTAATCTTCCAGCAAAAATGTTTATTTTGCTCCCTTCATTTTTTCTAAATGTTGTAGTTCCTCTTCTTGAAGATAGATTATTTCTCTTGATCATTATAAACTTAGATTTCTGCCTCCCTAGATACATTATCATCAACGTATTTTTCCATGACTTTTATAGTCATGGTGTGCTGGAATGGAAGGTATAACACTAACATTTATTCATTGCCTGGTAAGTGCCAAATATTGTGAGGCAGTTTTATATTTGGCATCTGGTTGAATCTTCATGAAAAGTTCTAAAGATGTGCCCATTTTGCACATGAAGAAAGTAAAGCTCAAGAAGATTAATCATTCTCATTGTCTTACAACAAATAGTGGAGCTGAGATTCAAAACTAGGTTTATTTTACTTCAAATCCTATAATCTTTCCATTTGCATCATGCTAATATTTTTGTGAACACTTATGCAAAATAAAGGAGGGCTTGAACCTTTTACTCCATGGTGCCTAATAGTGGACAGAAGTTAACGCAAGAATGAAGCATGAATGCATACAGGGAGGTATCTACAACTTTGACAATTGGTCTATTTTAAATGATTTAAATTATCCAAACATAGGAAATATCTTTTTTAACAGGCCATGTTACTGAAATTTTTATTATTGTAATAAAATTATCTTT